AATAGGGAAAAAATAGAAAAAAAAAAAAAAATTGTGAAATAATTCAAAGAGAAGAGGAAATGTAAATCACTGGTGTAAATTCGAAATTGAAAAAGTCGTCAATCGTGAACTCTGATGCCGATACGGGGTGGTGCGTCTTATCGAAACCGGGGCGAGGTGATTAATCGGCATTGCGGATACGTTGACGAGTCGATGCAGCCGGACTGCACGGTTTGTCGACGTGATTCTCGTCAGTTTCGTTCTTCTTTCGTGCCAATCAACGGCCCGACCCAAGCCAGGCTTGAATGGTGTCTTTGGAAAGGCAAGAGTTCATAGAATCCCGTGGAATCACGAACGATGGAGGGATCGATTCGTTTGAAACTTTGACCAGAGATTAAAAATCCTATATTTTTTTAGGTAATATCTTTTTTTCTTCATGGTGAATATTACAGCGATATAACGAGGGATATTTATTTATCGTTGGAATTTTATCTTGAATAAAAAATCACGGAAAAAATCGCTCGATGGATGTTTCTTTTATTATTAGACCGATGTATATATAAAATTTTATCTTTCGATCAATAACTTTTTTAACGAATGAATCATTCAAAAAAGATAATATTTGCAATTTTAATGAATCCAGGGATAACAAAAATGTCTATAATTTCTGTCTTCTGTTATGATTATCTCGAAATATATACGACGTCTTGTTATTTTCACAAGGGATTAAGGGCGGCAAATTTGAAATCGTTCGAAGACCGCTCCGTATGCAACTAACTCAATATTACCAGAAAGCAGGATTTTCTAGCTTGCACGAAGGGAGGGTGCAACGGCGTTTATTATACGATTTAACGGCGTATAGGAGGATTATTGAAACGGCAGACGAATGAGAGAGAGAGAGAGAGAGAGAGAGAGAAACGGTAGCCATTTTCCACGTTGTGCTTTCGTTGTACGATCGATCGATGAATTTAATCTGCGCAAACAGCGGATGGTTTAGCGTTATCAATAATGGCCACGGATCTTCCCCTTATTCATTCGTCCCGTGACGACTGTTTGCGTTTTGGATCTCTTTCTGTAAAGGCATCTCGTTCGATTATGCTCTCAAGGGATTCTCTCTGCGATAGTCCTCGCGCTTCATTTTCCACATCGTTAAAACTTGGCTTTAGTTCCTTTGCAGCTCCGTTCAAGTGTTCCGTTTGTAAAAGCGTAGAGAATTACGAAAGAATTAATCCGTGATATCGGATTTTTTTCTTTTTTTAAAATCTTTAGATTCAGATTTGTACATAATGTATCTACATATTATTTATTTATCAGTTTAGATTAGGTTGATTGGAGAATTGCAACAGAATTCCAACTTTCAGAAGAACTTTTCCTCTCTCCTGTTCACAAGGAACCAATTTTGCTCGATTCCGACGATCGATCACGGTTTCATCGCTACTCGAACGCAGAGAGAAGTTTGACAGTTGAATTGTTTAACGATTACGACAGTTGAATTATGATTATCGTCTATATTGCTCAAAGCTATTGAAATTGATCCGATCGCTTCCCCTTCCTTAGATTAAACTCTGAACAAAAAGTACGTTCGAAACGTATTTTAACGTTTGCATCGTTCAAAGATGTTTCATCTTTGGAAATTTACAAATTAACAAAGAAAGGCGGAAATGGCGATTGTTCTCCTCCAAACTTTTTCTTTCTCTCCTCCAATCATTCCTTTCCACCGGTTCAATTACAGAACTCGAAACCACGGGATTCCACGTAACAATAATTTGAATTAATCACCGGCGCAGATACAACTGATTTAATGCGCGGCTTAATCTAGGCGCTGACACGTTCAGCGCGCGACTCACGATGAGTTACGGCAATTCACGCGCAAGACAGGATCCATTTACAATGGAGACATTTACAGATTAGCCGTGCACAGGGTGTACCTGCGAGAATTCGCCACGTTGCGTGTCGTGCGCCTCGGGATCCTCGGCAATTGGAGATACCATTCTTAATTTAATTAAAAATTTCACGGGATTATTGCCCTCGAATACCGTGGATAATGTTTCGGGAAATGCATTTGCATAAATGATTTTGAATTACGACGGCCTACTTTATGTATATTAATTTAACTTTACGAAAGTATTATTCACTTGAAACAAACGTGTCCCGATTATTTGAATTTATCAAATAACGTGATGAAATATCTAAAATACGCGTCGCAAATTTTTTTTCCTCGCATGAAATTCCTCAACTTTTCAGAATTTTTAAATTGTTCTTTCAACTTTTCTGATCCCTTATCTCAAAGATCAAAATATCAAAATTAAATTCTCTTGTTGTTCGCGTTGTGCTATCCCATTGCAATGCAAATTTTACCTCGGATTTTTTAAATTAACAGACCACGAGATCCACCGAAAAGCTTCGCCCCTTCCATCCCTTCGAATATCCTCCGAATACGTGTCCTCTCACGCGTCTACGCTATTTTTATTTCTCGAACGCTCTCAAAAAAAAAAAAAAAAAAAAAAAATTCTCGCAATCTACAATCACAGAGGGAAAGAGGAAATGGCAGGAGAGAGGGGAAAAACATCGAAATACCAGTTTGTTGAAGCAGTAGAGCGTTCGAATAACAGATTCCACTCTATTTTCCACTCTGGCCCGAAGCACAGGTGCCTCCATTTACAGATTAAACCGCGTCACACCCGGTATAGGGGGATGAGGGGAAAATTGGCTTGTCGGGGCTCGTTCTTTCGGGGCTATTCCCTTTAAAAGGGTCGTGTACGACCGGCTTCGAGCGAAACGACAACAATACGAGGAGAATTCGTGCGCGAATCGCAACACTGGAAAGCAAATTGCACTTGGTGCACGTCGGAATGGAGGCTCGTGCTTGATAAATTGTCGATCGATCCCGAGATTCGCGCCAATGGAAAACGGAAGTGACTTTGTCCATCGATGATACAAATTCTGGAATCAAAATGGTGACGAAATTAAAAGGATTCGTTCTGCCTTAGATTGGGTCAAGATCGAATTTCTTCGCTCACTACTGTTTCTCCTTTGACAAAGTTTGTACAAACTTTTCGAATCTTTTTTTCTTTTTTTATTTAAAGAAATATCGTGTTTGGAAGATCGTTTTTTGTATAGTTTGGTATATCGTACAAGACGAAGATAGAGAAAGAAGATAGAGGGACTGTTTGAAACGAAGAGTTCGTTTGAAGCGAGGTTTTCATTTCCTGTTAAAGAAAGCTCTCGATTTTGTTGTAATCGTGTATAATCAGTGTCTCAAATCCTTTTCGAAGAAAAACAGAGGGATCTCCACTATTGGAAGTTTCTTTTTACACAGCTTACTCGACGAAGAGAAAACCGAAGAAACGAGAGTGATTTTTTAGATAACTCTTTCAAACCAAAGAGTTTCGAAGCAAGGTTTCTTTCATTTCCTGTTCCAATGTCTTTTTCAGATCGACGACGTAAAAACTCGAAGCAAATAGCAAATAGGAAAAATAAATATCGTCGTGCTTGACTAAGAACGAAAGGATAAATGCGTATTTAAAAAAAAAAAGAAAAATTAAAGATCCAAAGTGTGCACGATTGTGCCACCTCGCGAACATGTGGTTCACATGTCTCTTCGAAGCGACGAACGGTTAAATAAATGTTACAACGAACGAAAGTCGACTTATTGAATAAGCGAGGCGGAAGTCAATCCGTGAAACATCATACGACATAATCTCGGTTTGTGTCGCGAGTTATTCGACTCGACGTGGAAAAACGTGCGCGACAGCGCGGCTACTCGAATGGTCAATTAGTTTCGATCAGGAAGCAATTTCAGAGACACGCTTAGCAGACTTTTTCCCTGGATAAACCGCTGCGTTATAGGTTCATTAAGTCGCTTCCTGAAGCGTCCAATCGTTCGATGATTTTGCCGTTGAATAGCCTTTAATTACGAATTTCTCGTTATCGGATCTCTCAACTGTGTCGATGCTTGTTAAACGATACGATTTTACTTTTTTTTCCTTTTCTTTCTCTTTCCCTTTAATATTCGACGAAACGACGGGGTTGATATTATAACATTGATAACATTGATCGATGGAAGAATTAATTTTCGGGGAAGGAATATTTTTGGAATATTTTTCAATTAAAGGGGGGAAAAGAGAAAAGATTGTACGAGGTATATCTATGAATTCGATGAATCATCGGTCGAATATGCATAATGAAAGATTGAACGGAGCCGCAGTGAACAAGTCTTCGTGACTGCGATTGCATCGATCAGCCATCAATTACAGACGGTAGTCATCTCTGTCAGGGACAGAGCACGTTTTCTGCAACATCCACATGGGGAAATTGGCTCGTTAATTTGTGGAATTTCTATGATAAAATTCTTCGATTTTCCAACATTTTTTTTTTTTTTTTAAAAAATGTCTTGTCTTTTTCTTGCGCGACGTTAATTTAGGCCATTAGGAATTTACGATTTTTCTCGTAGCTTTTCATTTTTAAATCTTTTATCAGTGTAAATTTTTATTTTTAGTTCTTTTCTATTCTTTTTAGAATCTTTAGCGAAGATTTTTAATATTCGCGTAATTTTTTTTTTTTATTATTTCCTTTTTTTTCTTTGTCATTTTTCTCTCTTTTAGATTTTTCCTCGACTTTTTACCGACTCTTTTTTTCGGATAGATACTTTTCCGTATCCTTTATTTCGTTCTTTCTCCGTCAAATTTTTTTTTCCTCGCATATTTTCCGCTACACGAATACTTTCATTTATTCCGTAGAAATTTAAAAAGATTCTAGAACTCGGTCTTCGTTGCTTTATATGCATTAATCCCTGGAAAACCGAATTTTATGAAAATCCGCTTGGATTTTAAAATTTGACTCGAATTAAACTTTAATATATTAAAATTGCCGATTGAATTTCACATTTATATTGAAATCTCTTTAAATATATTCGAACTCTAGTTTGTCCCAATGGAACTCTCGATATTAAAATATCCCTTTTCCTATGAAATTCTCAATTTACGATCCCTTAAGTTTCAAACAAATCTAAGGAGTAGACATTTCCTTGCACATGTTTTCCATATCCTTTTGTTTATTCTACTTCCAATTCCCTTTACTTTTGTTTCCTACTTGTCATTCTCATCCCGCTTCTCCGCTCCAACCATTCGACTTATTCTTCCCTCTATTTATCATTCCATTCCTTTTCCTTCTTTTTC